TAGGATTTGCCAATCTGCCATGTTCGGTATTGCTGTATTCTTCCAATTTCTTCCTACTAAGATTCTGGCCACTGTTATCCCATACATGAACAAAGTTCTTTTCGATTTCCCTATTTCTTTTGGCAATATACTTAATAGAAATATTTCTGGCATTTTTTAAAATGTAAATTTGAATAATTTTTAAAGTTCTTCATATATATTATTCCAAAATACGCAGATGTCTGTACACTTCTACCACATATGCAAGTAAGACCCAATTTCTCTATTACATCTCCAACATATAGGTGATCTATTCTTGTACATTTTAGCAAGTTTTTCTGGAGTTTGGTGCCATCTGTACATCATCTTCGTTATATTCTCCCTGAGATTATAACAGGCCGTAAATTTTATATCTCCCCCCTATAATTTTTCCCATTGTTCCATGTAAATATTATAACCCGGGTCTTGGGCCCATCTCACCATGACTGCTTTCACTTGTTCTTCCTTTACCTCCCATTCTAATAGTAGATCATATATCTGTGAGATGTCTCTTCCTTTACTTGGCATCAATTCTTTTTCAAATTTTGATCTTTCTTTTGTAAGACCTGTTTATTTATCCATGATTAATCTTTGATGTATTTGAAAATATTGCAGCCAATCCGTCAGATACCCTTTAATTTCTTCATGTTTTTTCAACGTGGGCTCGTCCTGCTGTCCTCCTAATAATAATAATAACCGGTATGTGGGCCATTCTCCTTCCATATTCTTTTTCTTAACTGCCAATGCTTCTGCAGGTGAGATCCACAGGGGGATCTTGAAGGCTCATTTCTTTCCTGCTTCCGTCTCATTTTCTAGCCCTGGGAATCTCCAGCACATTCAAGACACACTACTGGGGTGGCATCCCTCCTCTGAGGGCCAGATAACAAGCCCCCGAGGGCCACGTGGGCCAGGCCAAAAAGCGAGCGCAGAAGGGGCTCACATTCCCACTGGGTTGCAAGTGCCCATTCCAGCTCCGGCTCCTTTGCCAGCCAGTCCCCTTGGCTGGGTTCCCTTTCTTTATGAAGGGCATGTCTTTCCCATCTTTTTCTCCAAGGAGCATCCATGGGTCTCCCCCTCCTCACTGAATCCCACCCCCATTACAACCCTTGAGAACACATTTAATTCCTGTTTTAAAACAGCAGCATTGGTGGTCCCTTCATTTCCAGGTCCAATTCAAAGTGCTCACAGGAGTATAATATAATAATAGGGATTTATTATTTACCCCCACCCATCTGGCTGGGTTTCCCCAGCCCCTCTGGGAGGCTCCCAACCAAATATTAAAAACACAATACAGCATTAAACATTAAAAACTGCCCTGCTGTTTGGCAGGGCAAGAAGCCTCGAGTAAAATTTAAGATATTGACTGATGCCAAAGAAGGAGGTGGATTTGCCCTGCCAGACCTTAAACTTTGTTGTGAATCATCTGCTTTTTGCTGGCTGAGAGAATGGCTGCTTCCTGAAAGCACTGAAGTGTTGGATAATGGCAGATGAAGTTGATGGACTATATGGAATTGGTGGAAAGGACTGGCAAGATCCGAGACCAGGGAGAAGAGTCGGTGGAAGAAGACTGGAAAAAGTTTAAAGACTATTTACAGAAATATTGTAAAATTAATGAATGCTAGAAGAATGTTGGAATGAAGTTATATGGCTTTAGTAGAAATGTTATAAGGAATTAAGTATAAATAGATTAATAGAATATTAAAGGAAAAAATAAGGTTAGAATGCGTTAAGATAATTATAGGATAGAAAACAGAGGAAGATGGAAAGGAAATGCTGAAACAATTAACAGAAGTGGAATACAAAAAGGGAGGTGTGAGGAGGTCGTTGAAATAAGTGAATGAAAGATTGAAATGTTTGAGGTGTTTTAAACTGTTTTTGTTTGTTTTTGTTCTGTTTTGTTAGTTTAATGAGTTAGTGTTATGTAGTGTTTTTGTATTGTACTCTATTGTTCTTTTTTGTAGTGTTTAAATGGTTGGAAAAGTAATAAATATTATTTTAAAAAAACAAAACATTAAAAACTGCCCTGAACAGGGAGGGGTTCACTTAGCCCCCCCCCCATATGTGAAGAACCACCTTCTTCCCTACAGATCCCCTGGGCTGAGAAATTTGGCAGGGGGGCCCTCTTGGTAGCTTCACCCACTCGAGAGTCTTGGGTGGGGGTGGCCCAAGAGAGGGCATCCTGGGGGCAGACCCCCCCTTGGGGGATTCCCTCCCCACACAGGCACCTCCCCCTCTTTCCCAAGGCCTCTGACAACGGAGGACCCAGCCTATTCCTCTGATTGTTATTTGTTTTGACTTTATAAAATAATTAAAAATTTTGCACTGTGCTCTGGAACAGCGGTAATAGTAGTAAAAATACCAACAAACAAGAACAATAATAATAATAACATAAAGCCTCAAGCATGGAAGAAAATAAATAAAGCCCCAGGTGTTTGGTTATGCAATGCTCAGTGTTATCTGTGAATTGCTCTGTCCTGTTGGCCCTTTCTCTGCTTTTGCTTAAACATATTCATGAACCAGGAACCCAGACACTGACCTCTAAAAATGAACTATATGTTGCAGATATTCCCATAAACCTATTGTGCTATTTTTGTGATGTACAAATGAGAAGATTTCTTTGTATCCTTCATTTGTCATTATTCCCATGAACCTTGCAATAAAACTCAATTGAGTTATTCCAAAAAGACAACACACACTCCCAGCCCCCCCCCGGCTGCATCTGCAAAGCAGGATGAGACCGTAGAATCCAGGGAAATATTTGTAAAGGGCGCTGAGCGCTGCCAGGAGAGGTTCCCTTGGAGTGGCTAGGCAACCGTCCTCCTTGCCAGGGAACTCAGGAATTACAGCTGGTGGGAAGAGGGTCTGCCAGTAACTCTCAGCACTGGGGGGGGGCTGCCTCTTTCACCCCCATCCCTCCCAAGGTTCCCTCCCTTCCCAGCAGGCCTTGGATTCCTTGGGTGGGGAGACCTCTGGTGGTTCTCTGTTCAGGGCTTCCTGGTCAGTCTCAGAAGATCATTTGGACACCTGAGAGGCTGCATGTCTGAACGGGCGCACCTGGGTCAGCCAGGAGTCTGGATAAGTTCCCTGCCTGATGAACGGGTGGTGGGGAAAGCTTTTCTTCTAACTGGAGGACAAGGGAGGGTGTGCTTGCAACCAGAGGAACTCAGCATCAGAACATGAACCCTGCAGGATCAGGCCAAAGGGGCCCCCTCTTGAGTGCCCCCTCCTGTTCCCACAAGGGCCTCTTCTGGGAAGCCCCCCAGCAGGACTGGCGTGCAAGAGCCCCCCTCTCCCCCAGCGCTTCCTTCCCAGCCCCTGGCAGAGCCTGGCCCTTGTGCCTAGCAGACCCCCAAGTCGCCCTTTCCCCCTCCATCTCCCTGCCTCCGGTGGGAGGGAGTTCCAAAGGTTTAACTCTGCCCTAAAGGAAGAAGCTCTTTCTGTTCTCCATCTTCCAACAGCCTTTCTCGACTGACTGCACAGGGGTTTTTATTCTTGCATATATTTTATGTCCAGCTGTTTCTCTCCGGCTTCAAATGCCATTCATAAATGTGACAGATGCCAATAATAATAATAATAATAATAATAATAATAATAATAATAATAATAATTTATTTATACCCTGCCCATCTGGCTGAGTTTCCCCAGCCTATTCCTGAATGGGCTTCCTTTGCCTGCCGTTATTTGCCCCCCCCCCAAGATCCCTCCCCAAAGGGGCCAGAAGCAGCCTCTTTCTCGGTTCCCTGGAAGACGAGGCTGGCCGATCTGCTGCAGATCTGCTGCTCCCTGACTTGGGGGGGGGGTCTCCCCCTGCATGAGATGGACGCCCCCCCCCGCCATGCATCTTCCCCAGGGACCCCCCTCCCTTCTCCCCAATGCACCCAAGGGGGGAGCAGAGACAAGACTCACCGGATCCCAGGAGGCGCCTCCTTTGCAGAGGAGACAAACCAACCGCCCCCCCCCCTTGCAAAAAAGGGACTTGGCTGGGAGGGAGGGGCTGTTGCTTTGGAGGACCTGACCCCCCCCGCCTTGACTTCCTGTCCCCTCTAGGAAGGCAGCTCCGTTCCTCTTAACCCTTGCCAAGCCGTGCGCCCTCAGCTCACCCTCCTCTCCCTCCCGGGCGCACAGCAAGAGAAGGGCATTCATTTGGGGTCAAGAGAAAGACTTTCAACCAGCTCAGCATCCCTGGGCATCAAATTATGCCAACGACAGGAATAATCATCCATGTAAAAACTTCAGATTACACCCCCCCCCGGCCCCCTTGGCAGCAGCTCCTCGTGCCAACCTGCGCCGGGTGCCAAGCAGAGGTGGTGAAGCTGCGTGCCCAGTTCAGCCGGGTACCAAGGGCAGGCGGCTGAGGATGCTTGGAGAGGGAGAAGAAGCATCCACTCTCATCCTCTCACCTGCCCCAGGAAACACCTGCCCCGGGTTACCTGGCAGCTTCCCCCTACCTGGAACCCCGGGGAAAAGACCAAACGCTTAAACCCAGAAACAATGACAATGCACAGCGAAGGGCCGCTCCGGAGCATGTGCAGAGTGCGGAGCCTTTTCACCCACCCCTCGATCACCACCGGCCCTGCGGGTGGGGAGCCAGGTGCCCTCCTGGTAGCTGGGCTCCAGCCGCCACCCCATCCCTGGAGTTGGGAATCTGCAGCAGGGGGAGGGCGCCCGGTTGGGCAAGGCTGTCCAGCTTTGCCCAGCAGCCACGCGAAGGCGCTTTGCCCGCGCCTAGAGGCACTCTCTTCCCGCACATGAGCCACAGTCGCTGCTGCCTGGCACAGGATGGCACCTGCTCTTGCGCTTGCCCCCTCCTGCTGTCCGAAGCAGCGGGTTGGACTAGATGACCCCCGGGGGTCCCTTCCAAGCCTGCGCTACTGCAGACTCCCCCCCTTCCAGCCCCGGGCGCGCTCTTGCGCACGGAGCGGCGCCAGCCGGGAACTGCAGTCCGTCTGCGGGCACGAGCGGGGAGGCGCGGGCGCGCGCTTGCAGGGGGGGATTCTGGGAGCTGTAGTCCTAGCCCGGCCGGGAGAGGAAGGAGGGCGGCTGCCTCCAGCCCCGCCGGGGTCCCAGACGGAGAGCCATGCAGAAATACGAGAAGCTGGAGAAGATCGGAGAGGGTGCGCAATTGCGCAGGGGGCGCGCAGCCGGGGGGGGGCGGATGCATGCATGCAAGCGGGAAGGGGGGGCGTGCAACCGGGAGCAGGAGATGGCGATGCCGGGGGCTTCTCCTTGGGAGGTTTGGGTGGGGGGCTGCTTCTCCCCACCCCCCACCCCGCGATCTGTGCTGCTGGTGCCGGGTGGGGCGAGGAGAGGACTGCTTTGAGTCTGGGGGTGGCGGCCTCTGCATGCATGCAACGCAGCCCCCCCCCCCGGAAAAAAAAACCTGGAGGAAATTGGGGGGTGTCTGGTGCAGGCTGGGGGTCCAGCGGCAGGAAGGCGTGGCAGCTGCGCCCCCGTCCTGGCCAGGGGGGGCTCCTCTGCAGGGCTGGGGTGGGGGGGGGCTGCAAAGCGCTTGGCCCCAGGAATCAGAGAGCCCCTTTTGTGTTTCTCTCCCCCCCCCCAAAAAAAGGCACCTACGGGACGGTGTTCAAGGCCAAGAACCGGGAGACGCACGAGATCGTGGCGCTGAAGAGGGTGCGGCTGGACGACGACGACGAGGTGGGGACCCCCGCGACCCCCCCCCGGCTCCGGCTCGCCTGCGCCGCCCCTGGAAGCCGGGACCACAGCTCCCATCATCCCCGGCCCGCCTGGCCAAGAGCGGGGGATTGTGGGAGTTGTAGTCCCGCATCCTCTTTCGGCAGGGGATGCTCTGCGCCCTCCTTGCAGGTGCTGCGGGGGGGGACGGCGCCTCGCTCCTTCTGCATGCCGAGCAGCTGCTCTCCCCCCCTGAAAGGAGAGTGGGGTGCTGGGCAGGTGCAAAGCGCCCCCGACTCCTGGGATTTGCATGCTAAGGGACCCCCTCCTGGGCAGCGGCATTCTGCAATAATAGGGCCTCCGCGGTGGGTTTAGCCTGGGCTGCCCGCACATCATCCTTCTGCCTTGCTGGTGGTTGGGTGGTGCTTTGCCCCTTAGCCCAATGACAGCGGGGGGGGGGGCAAGGGAGAATAAAACGGAGCATTTGCAGTAAATTGCAAGAAGTTCCTTGACTGGAAAGGAAGCAGAACCCCCGAATATTTGCAGGAGCAGTAATAATAATAATTTATTTATACCCCACCCATCTGGCTGGGTTTCCCCAGCCACTCTGGGCGGCTTCCAACACAATATTAAAATACAATAGTCCATCAAATATTAAAAGCTTCCCGAAAGAGGGCTGCCTTCAGATGTCTTCTAAAAGTCTGGCAGTTGTTGTTCTCTTTGACATCTGGTGGGAGGGAGTTCCACAGGGCGGGCGCCACTACCAAGAAGGCAAACAGCACTGGGCTTGGGGGTCACGTTTGAGCACCCCAATAGCATCCCAAATGCTCACCAGAAAGGATGTTGGGGTGGGGCTGGGGGGGCAGAGTCTGCTGCTGTTTGACAGGCGACACCACACACATTGCCCTGGGCAGAGCAGCCTCGCCCTCCCAGGTTTGGGGCAGGTTTCTGAGAAGAGTTCCCTGTTCCCTTGTTAGTTGCCAAACTCCCCTGGTTGGGATCCATAGGAAAGGGAAGTAAGATGTTCCTTAGCCACTTCTGGTGGGTGGAGGGATTCCCTGTCTTCCAGGGAGTCCTTTCCCCCCCCCCCGCCCGCTTGCTTGCCCATTGTGAATGAATTGGGGGTGGGGGTTGAGGCCGGCAGTGGCACCCTGACCCTTTCCCCTCCCTCCTCCTCCTCTTTCAGGGGGTCCCCAGCTCTGCCCTGCGGGAGATCTGCCTCCTGAAGGAGTTGAAGCACAAGAACATCGTCAGGTGAGCCGGTTGGGGGGCTGAGGCTCAGCTTTGGGACACGTCGGGGCTTTTCTCCCCTGGGCAATTCGGCTCCAGGGACCACACATTCGCTCCATAAGACGCACAGACATTTCCCCTTACTTTTTAGGAAGAAAAAAGTGCGTCTTATGGAGCAAAAAATACAGTTATCCCCAAAACAACCCTGTGAGGTATGTTAGTCTGAGAGAGGGGGGCTGGCCCCCCAAGTGACCCACTGAGCTTCATGGCTGAGTGAGGGGATCTGAACCCTGGGGTCCCAGTAAAGTGCTCTAACCATTGCACCACACTGGCTCTGAAAGAATCCACACCCTGGGGTGCTCCCTCATTCTGGGCTCAGCTTCCAGGGCTGACTCAACTCTGGGCTTGAAGCTCTGGGTGTCTGTGGGTGGGTGGGGGGCGACCGAGGGGCCTGAGACCCCGGCTGCATCTCTTAGAGGGGTGAAGCTGATCATTTCCCACCTATATCCCACATGGAATCCTGCCTGTGTCACTTACGCCAGTCACAAAGAGAAGCATTGAATTGTTGGAAGGGACTCCAGGGGTCATCTAGTCGACCCCCTGCAAGGCAGGACTCTCAGCTGAAGCCTCCATGAGGACAGGTGCTTAGAAACCTCCAAGGAAGCAGAGTCCACCACTTCCCCAGGGAGACCATTCCCCTGTCAAACAGCTCTGACTGTCAGAAAGTTTTTCCGTATGTCTAGTCAGAATCTCCTTTCCTGCAACTTGAAGCCATGGGTTCGAGTCCTAGCCTCCAGAGCAGGAGAAAACAAGCTCGCTCCATCTTCCTTGTGACAGCCCTTGAGATATTTGAAGATGGTTCTCAGACCTCCTCCCAGTCTCCTCTTTTCCAGGCTAAACATCCCCAGCTCCTTCAACCACTCCTCATCAGGCTTAGTTTCCAGACCCTTGACCATCTTAGTCTCCCTCCTCTGCCCACATTCCAGCTGCTCAACATCCTTCTTAAATTGTGAGCCCAGAACTGGACACAGGATTCCAGGTGTTTGCCTGACCAAGGGAGAAGAGAGCCGGACTATGACTTCCCTTGATCTGGACACTAGACTTCTGTGGATGCAGCCCAGAATAGGGCTTTGTTTTTGCTGCTGCTGCTGCATCACACTGTGGACTCAAGTTAAACTTGTGGTCCACTAAGACCCCCTGGATCCTTTTCACAGGTGGTAAGCCAGGTGTCAAGGTCCGTATAGTTCAAGCTATGGTTTCCCCAGTAGTGATGTATGGAAGTGAGAGCTGGACCATCAAGAAGGCTGATCGCCGAAGAATGGATGCTTTTGAATTATGGTGCTGGAGGAGACTCTTGAGAGTCCCATGGACTGCAAGAAGATCAAACCTCTCCATTCTGAAGGAAATCAGCCCTGAGTGCTCACTGGAAGGACAGATCCTGAAGCTGAGGCTCATGAGAAGAGAAGACTCCCTGGAAAAGACCCTGATGTTGGGAAAGATGGAGGGCGCAAGGAGAAGGGGACGACAGAGGACCAGATGGTGGGACAGTGTCCTCGAAGCTACCAGCATGAGGGAGGCAGTGGGAGACAGGCGTGCCTGGTGTGCTCTGGTCCAGGGGGTCACGAAGAGGCGGACACCACTAAACAACAAACAACAACGAGCCAGGTGTCTCCCGTTCTGCATTTATTCCCCACCCTTTTCATCCAAGGAGCTGCAGGTGGTGTCTGTGGTTCTTCCCCCCCCTCCTCATTTAACCCCCACAACGATCCTGTGAGGTAGGTCAGGCTGCGGGTAAGTGTGTGGGCTGAGCTCGCACCATTCACTGGAGCCCCTGTTTTCTCTGCCCCCCCCCCCAGGCTGCACGACGTCCTCCACAGCGACAAGAAGCTCACTCTGGTCTTTGAGTTCTGTGACCAGGTAAGGAGGGAAGGAGCGGGTGGCTGTGCTCAGATTTTGCAGGAAGAGCCCTGCAGGGCTGGCTCTGTCCTGTTCCCACAGTGGACGGCCAGGTGCCCCCCAGGGAAGCCCACAGGCAGGAGCAGGGGGCAGGATCCTGCGGGGCTCTCCCTCGGTTCTCCTGTGTGGTGAGAGAGAGGCAGCAAGGGGAGCTGGATCTGGGGGTCCCCTCTGCATCCTGCAATTTTGGGGGTGCCTCTTCCTGGGAGACCAGCCTCTTCGGGGGTCTCCTGGCCCTGCTGCTGACCCCCTGCCTCCCCCTCCTGCTTTCTGCTCCCCCCAGGACCTGAAGAAGTACTTCGACAGCTGCAATGGGGATCTGGACCCCGAGATTGTTAAGGTGAGGAGGGCACAGGGTGACCCTGGCAAGGGGCTGAGAGGAGGGGTGGGGACAGGCATCCTTGTGGGGGGCAGCTGGTGCTTTGCCCATCCCCCGTGGCCAGGCTTGGGGTCCTCACGCCAGCCTCCCCCCCACTCTCTCCGCAGTCCTTCATGTACCAGCTGCTGAAAGGTTTGGGGTTCTGCCACAGCCGGAACGTCCTGCACAGGGACCTCAAGCCCCAGAACCTCCTGATCAACCGGGTGAGTGCTGGGGGCCACATTGGGCAGACGGGGGGAGTTTAGGGGGCCAAGACCCAGTGTGGCTCCTGCAAAGACCTGCCTGTTTCACCTTTCCAGAGATGGGGGAGACCTGGGAGGGGCTGTGCCCTTGGATTGCCCAAAGACTCCCTCGGTCTGCTTATTATGGGTTGCCACCTTAGCCGTTTTCCCTGCACGGCAGGGGGTTGGGCTAGATGACCCCCTGGGGTCCCTTCCCACTTCTCCCAAGGGAAGAAATCAAAAAGACCCAGGATTGGTGCTTTCTAATGTGCTCATAAAAAATAGGAGGTTTGGGATGAGCAGCGAAGGGGCCAGATCTGCCCACGATCCCACGTGATTTAGGGGGGTGTCAGTGCACACAGCGGGGGGGGGGGCCGTTAAGCTGCAAGGGACTTCCAGGGAGTCTCCAGGTCTAGGGAACATTGTCAGTGTGGACGCCATGGGGATTTCCCCTTCCTTCCCTGGGGTGTGGGCAACGTTGCCCCTGGGCTGGCTCTTTTTCCTCCGCTGACCACCTGCCTTTGCCAACAGAACGGGGAGCTGAAGCTGGCAGATTTTGGGCTGGCGAGGGCCTTCGGGATCCCCGTGCGCTGCTACTCGGCTGAGGTGAGGAGCAGGGCTGGGCGGGCAGTGCCCGTCCGTTGGCACAGGGAACTGCGGGACCTGCCCCCTTCCCTCCCTTCCTCGCCCCTCCTCTGGGCCACTCGCTCTGCAGAGCCTCCAATTGTCCCTCTTTTCCAGGGACGTCCCTGATTTAGAGAAGCCGTCCCGGTTTCTGATCTGATCCCAGAATGTCCCACTTTCCCTTAGGATGCCCATGTTTTCATTGGAGAAATGTTGGAGGGGATGGAGTTATCTGACCCCCAAGCCATCTGAAGGCAGTCCTGTACAGGGAAATTTATTTCGTGTTTAATGTTTTATTATGTTTTTATATATGTTTTTATATATGTTGGAAGACGCTCAGAGTGGCTGGAGAAACCCAGTAAGAAGTGTGGGGTATAAATAGTAAAATAGTAAAATTATCATTATGGAATGGGATGTCCCTATTTTCATCAGAGAAATGTTGGAAGGTCTTTCTTCCCCAACCCAGCCTGCAGAAACCAATTAACCTGTGGCCTAATAATAATAATAGCAATAATAACTTATTATTTATACCCCACCCATCTGTCTGGGTTTCCCCAGCCACTCTGGGCGGTTTCCAACACAATATTAAAATATAATAGTCCTTAGATATTAAAAGCTTCCCTAAACAGGGCTGTCTTCTAAAAGTCAGATAGTTTTTTATTTCCTTTGTCATCTGGTGGGAAGGCGTTCCACAGGACGGGTGCCACCACTGAGAAGGTCCTCTGCCCTGTTCCCTGTAACCTCACTTCTCGCAGGGAGGGAACCGCCAGAAGGCCCTCAGCTCTGGACCTCAGTGTCTGGGCTGAATGATGGGGGTGGAGACACTCCTTCAGGTCTACTGGGCCTTTGAGGCCGTTTAAGGCTTTCAAGTTCAGCACCAATACTTTGAATTGTGCTCGGAAACGTACTGGGAACCAATGTAGATCTTTCAAGACCAGTGTTATGTAGTCTCAGCGGCCGCTCCCAGTCTTCTCTGATTTCCTTCCACCCCAGATTCCTGCATTGCAGGGGGTTGGACCAGATGCCCCTTGGAGGTCCCTTCCAACCCTTTAATTCTCCCTGCTGCCCCACAGGTGGTGACGCTCTGGTACCGCCCTCCAGACGTCCTCTTCGGGGCCAAACTCTACTCCACCTCCATAGACATGTGGTCTGCTGGCTGTATCTTTGCAGGTAAGGGGGGGTGCTTTGGCAGAGGGGGTGGGCAAGGGCTCTGGGGTGCCACTGACCTCTTCCTCTCTCCCCCCCCAACAACCCAGAGCTGGCCAATGCTGGGCGCCCCCTCTTCCCAGGAAATGACGTGGATGACCAGCTGAAGCGGATCTTCCGATATCCTTGGCGGTGGGCATTGCAAGGGCGTGGGGGGAGGCCAGTTGAAACTGAATTCAGGGGGTTGGACTAGATGACCCCTGGGATCCCTTCCAACTCTGATTCTATGGGTCTATGATTAGGGAAATTCCCCACCGTAGTAGAAATCACATATGGAACAGATGGAAAGCTCTTCAATCTGTGCAGGCTGAAAGCAAAGAGTAAGGTTACCGTAACTTCTGTCCTAGAGCTTCAGTATACTGATGACAACGTAGTGTGCACACGCTCAGAGGATGATTTCCAAACCATCCTAAATATCTTTACAGAAGCTTACGAAAAGCTTGGCCTATCGCTCAACATCCAAAAAACCAAAGTGCTGCTGCACCAACAAGTGCAAAATATCCCCTCTGCAGCGCCACAAATCCAACTCAATGGTGTAACATTGGAAAGTGTCAATCACTTCTCCCACCTGGGCAGATACCTTTCCACAAGGGCCAACATTGATGCCGAAACACAGCACCACCTGAACTCTGCGAGTGCGGCTTTCTCCTGATTGAAGTGCGGAGTGTTTCAGGACCGGGACATTCACAGGGAAACCCAAATGCTTGTTTACAAAGCTATTGTACTACCAACCTTACTATATGCTTGTGAAACATGGACCACTTACAAACGCCGTCTCCAACTCCTTTAAAGATTCCATCAACGGTGTCTCCAAAAATCTTACACATCACTTGAGAAGACAGGCGAATTAATGCCAGTGTACTGGAAGAAGCAAAGATCACCAATGTCGAAACAATGAGTCTTCAACATCCACTTCGTTGGATTCGTCATGTTATGCGGATGCCTGATTTTCATCTTCCAAAGCAACTACTCTATTCCAAACTTAAATCTACATTTTTTTAGATTTGCCTTGAGAGAGTTTTTAAACCTCTTTTGTTGACCACCAACATTACGCTTTCCATTTTTAAGTTTGGAATAGAATTTGGAACACCAACAACTGGGAAACGCTTGCTTGCGAGAGCTCCAATTGGAGAACTGCCTTTACCGAAGGTGTCTTGGGCTTTGAAGACACTCGAACTCAGGACGCAAGGGAGAAACGTGCTAAGAGGAAGGCACACTTGGCAAATCCACACCATGATCAACTCCTGCCCGGAAACCAATGTCCCCACTGTGGAAGGACGTGTGGGTCCAGAATTGGCCTCCACAGTCACTTATGGACTCATTGTTAAAACCGTGTTCGTGGAAGACAATCTTACTTGGCTACGAGGGATGAAATGAAAAGGGAAAGCCCAGCAAAGCTGTGATTGGCCAGCTGGGAACGTGTGGCTCTATTGGGGTGGGGGGGTGGAGAAGGTGTGGATCCAGCCCTCTTGCCCTGGGCGCCTGTTTCTTGGCTGCAGGAGCAAGCAGGGGAGGGTTTGGCAGAATTATGGAGTTGGGAGGGTCTCCGAGGGTCATCTAGTCCAACCCCCTGCAACCTCCTCCCACCTGGGACAGGTGTCAAACAGAAGCCCCACCCCTCTTCCTTTCCTTTGAGCAAGAGCAGAGTTCTGGACACGCAGGACTTTGTGCTGAGGTTCCTGCTCTGCAGCGGGTTGGACTAGATGACCCCTGGGTCCCTTCCAGTTCTACCATTCTGTGGGGGTGTTGGGAGGGGTACACGGCTGAGTTGGCTGGGGGGAGATGCAGAGGGGTCTCCCAGTTGTCAAGGGGTCCTTAACTCTCCCTCCACGCTGCTGGGGACTCCGACTGAGGAGCAGTGGCCGGGGATGACCAAACTCCCAGACTACAAGGTGAGAAGACCCTTCACTCCCCCAGAGTGAGACCCTTGCTCCATCGCCCTCCTGGGTGGGGGTCCACCCCCATTGCACACCTCACCCACTTTCTCTCCCCCCCCCCAGCCATACCCCATGTATCCTGCGACGACTTCCCTTGTCAACGTGGTGCCCAAGCTGAACACGACCGGACGGGACCTGCTCCAGGTGAGTGCTTCTCCCCCCCTCCCCCCCATGAGGGGAGCTCCCTGCAGGGGGCTGGAAGGGGGTCTCTCCCACCGGCATCTCTATTCACCTTCCTTGCAGGTTTTTCTGCCGAGGCCCCTCCATCGGGGATCCTTGAGCTCCTGCTTTGAGGGGGTTGGACTGGATGACCTTTGGGGGCCCCTTTCCAATTCCACGATTCCTCAGAGGGTGGCGCCGGCCTCTCCTTCCCTCTAGGGCTTTCCACAGTAGTTGGGCGGCTGTCCCTCGGGGATCCTTCAGCCGAGATTCCCACCTTCCAGGGGGCTGGAATGGATGACCTCTGGGGGTGCCATGACTCTGAGCTCCCCCCTTTCTTTGCCTCCCCAGAACCTGCTGAAGTGCAACCCGGTGCACCGGATCTCGGCAGAGGATGCCCTCCAGCACCCCTACTTCACGGATTTCTGCCCCCCCTAAGGGGCCGGCGTGTGCGTGTGTCTGGTGTGGCCAAAGGGTGGGGGGTGCATGCAGCCTCCCCGCCCCCCCCCGCCAGTGTACCAGTCCCCCTGCTGGAACTGCTGGTGCTGCAATCCTCACGGGACCATTTGGGATATTGGGGCGGGGTGGGGGGGCTGGCCTGATTCCCCCCTCTTCCCTTCCCGCCCCCTTTCCCTGCCCCCCAGCACCCTCTAGTGGGGGCCTGAGCAGCCCTGAAGGACTCGGACATCTGTCTCACCCTGTGACTCTCTGATGACTCCTATAAAGCTCTTCTTCTCTTTCTCTTTCTTTCTCTCATCTGTATCGCGACACCCCCCCCCAGCCCCACTCTCTGGGCAGGGGGGCTCCCTCCCCTCCTTCCCGGGGCCCCAGTGGAGGGGCAGCCAGAAGAGGGGGCTGCGTGTTCCCCCTGAGTGGGGGGGGGGAGACTTGCTTTGCCCCCCTCCCATCTCCAGTGTCACCCTTGGGTGCTCTGCCTGGGGGGCTCAGGGCAGCGTTAATTGGGGAGAGGGGCTGTGCTGGATCAGGCCGGTGGCTCATCAGCTCCAGTCATCCTGCTCTTGCCTTGGCCAACCAACTCTCAGAACCTGGGTCCAGATAGACTGCCCCTGACCCTGGAGGTTCCACACAAACGTCAGAAGAGCCTGAGCACAGGATCAGGCCAAAGGAAGCCAGCAAGCAGGATTCGAACACAAGAGCAACACCGGGCCAGAAGCCTTTGATTGCCATCTCCTCCACCAACTTGGCTTCAAAGCCTTCACCTGTGCTCTGCCTCCAAAGTTGGAAGGAGCAAATGCTGTGCATTGCAGCTGCTGGAAACCCAAGGACGAGAGAGCTTCCCCTGTGTTCGAATCCCGCTTGCAGGTTTCCCATCGTGAGCCCCTGGGTGGCCCCTGGGAGAAGAAGAGACTGGACTGGATGCGCCAGACTCTCACCACAAATTCCCCATGAAGGTGTCCAATCCTCTTCTAATGGCCTCCAGGTTTGGTGGGCATCCCTGCCTGCTGTGGCAGGGAGTTCCACAGATTAACTCTGCCGTTGTGTGAAGGGCGAATGCCTTTTCTCTCCCGAATCTTCCACCTTCACGGGATTCCTACGAGTTTTCGTATGACGAGAGAGGGAGGGAGGCTTTCCTCCTTGCTGTGTATAATTTCACAAACATCCGGTGGATCCCATTCCTGGGGGGGTTTTCAACAGAGATTCCTTCCTTACAGGGGGTTGGACTAGATGTCCTTTGGGGGTCCCTTCCAACCCTACAATTTGATTCCCTTGACTTTTCTCTCAGCTACCGCGCCCCCCAGCTGACAGACTGACCCCCAACCCCCCAGTGCCCCCTTTCCCCTGTGGCCCCTCTCAGTCCACACACATCTCCCCAAAGCGCAACACAGACACAGAGCGCCCCCCCCCCGTTTGACGCAGCAAGTTGGCACAGCCAAGAGGCTCTTTAATGGTACACAGGGCAAAAAGGGTGGGGTGGGGGTGGGGGGTCACACGGGGGTACAAGAGAGGTCGGGGGGTCTCAACAGCGTAGGATGGGGGGCAGGAAGCGCAGACGACACTCAGACACAGATACAGGAGCCGATGGACAGACAGGTGTTCATGCAGGTGAGCCATCCCTGACCTAGAGATTCCCCACCTGGCGGGGGGGAGACTACAGGGTCTTTTCCACAAGGCCCCCCTCCTTCCGGAATTGGGGGTGGAAGGACTGACTAGGGCCCCCCCTACAAATAACCACATCCTGCAGAGCGTCCGGGATTCTTTTAATGCTGCTTCGCATCATTTCACCCCCCCAGTCCCAGGCCGGAAGAGCCCCCCCACCCCACCCGCCTGGGTCAAGCCCTTCTATTTGGGGTGGGGGGGGGAGAGCAGGTTCCCTCTGGCTGCCGTCCTCTTGGTCTCCTCTGTGCAGAAAGGGAGGAGGAGGAAAAGGCGTGTGCGTTGTCGGGGGCGCCCCCCCACCGGAAAATGCCAGGCTGCCCCACTCCCCACCCTGCGCTGGGTCCTGCAGGAGGAGGCGCCTGGTCCATTTCGCAGGGAGCAGAGGAGAGCGAAGGAGGCGCAGGTTTCTTTGGGGGGGGGTCCCCTTCCTTCAGCAGGCGAATTCCTCAAAGTTGCCTAGAGTCGGGTGACGAGGTAGCATGTTCGGGGTGTATCCAACACTGTCCGAGTGACTGCACAGCGTGTGGCAGGTGCTCTGGGGGGGCAGAGAGAAGGGTGGGTCAGTGAGCAGCAGCTGGGGGGCAAGGCTACCATCGTCATCGTCGCCCCCCCCCCCAGGCAGGGAGCTGAGCTGCTTCCAGAGCCTCCTGAGGCTTTGGGGTGGCGTGGAGGGATGCAATGGAAGCCCCCCCCCATGAAACGTCCGCTCAGGTGAGATGGAGATGGAGGCTGACCCCCCCCCCCAACAGGGGAAAGGGGACTGGCAATGGGGGGCTGGCATGATGGACCACCCCCAGGTAACCTTTTCCTGGCCAGGCCCAGAACGGATGGCAATTGAGGGTCCCAGGGCAGGGGGGAGATCACCCCCCCCCCGAGGCAGCTTTGCATGCTCCCTGCTTGCCTGTAGACCAAGAAAGGGGTCGAGGCTTGGGTGGGGGCTTTTTCAGTTGCAGGTCCAGACGGGAGAACACCCCCCCCCAAAAAAAAACCCCACGCCCTGCAACTGCTGTGAGCAGATTCTGTCCTCCAAGAGGCTCTTGCCAAAACCCCCTTTGGCCAAATCTGCGCTTTGGGGCAGGGGGAGGGGGCTGCCCCCCCATTGCAGCTCTCCTGAGCGCCTGTGGAAGGTATTTTGCTCCTCTATGTGGAAGTTCTACCATGACTAATAGACCCAGGGAAATGGGTGTGTGTGACTCAGTGGCCCCTTTGGGGAGTCTGCGGTTAACGCAGCACCACTGTTGGGGGGGGGAGAGGAGGAGGAAGGAGAGCCCTGAAGACGGATCAGGCCCATGGCCCTCTGGCCCGGCATCCTCTCCTGGCAGCAGCCAACCAGATGCCCATCATGGGAAACCCAAAAGCAGGATTCGAACACAAGATCCATTCTCCCCCCAGTTTCCTGCATCTGGTATTCAGAAGCATCCCCTGGCAGCCTTCTCCTCGGGAATTTGCCTGGTCCTCTTTTAAAGCCATCCAGGGGAGTGGCCATCCCTGCCTCCTGTGGCAAGGAGTTCCAGAGTTTAACTGCACTGCACGAAAGAAGTCCTTTCCTTTAGCCTGTCCTGAACCGTTCAGCTTCATGGGACGACCAGGAGTTAGGAGACAGGGAGGAAATCGTTTCTCTGTCTGCAAATCTAGCTGCCTTTCCCAGGGCAGACCAGCTCCATACTGCCTGCTTTCTCTTAGGTGCGTTTCCTTAAAATACTCTACTATTGGAGGGCACCCCAGGGGTCATCCAGCCCAACCCCCTGCAATGCAGAAATCAAATCCACTTTATGACCTGGGCAGCCAGATTCTGGCCGCAGCCTCTCCTGGCTCCCTAAAGCAGCAGCAGCAGCAGCGCCCTGACCCCCCCCCCCGGGAGCAGGCCAGTCCAATGACCCAAGAGCTCCTGGCTGCCAGGAAAACCGGGGGTGGGGGGGTTGATTCAGAAGTGGGCCCCTGAAAGGGATCCTCTACCTGAGAGGGCGAGGAGGCAGCTGGGTGCCTGGGCTGCGGGGGAGGTCCGTGTGCTCCTGGCGCAGGTGAGATGCCAAATGGAAAGGAGGGGGGAGATGATGAGACAGGGTGGGGAGGCACAAAGAGAGGGGGGCAGGGAGGGGGGCAGAAACAACAATGAAGCAACACTCAAGGCAAATGGTCCCAATGGGGGGGGGTAGAAGATGAAGCCGGTGGAGAGGGGAAGGGGTCTCTGGGCATGTGCAGAGAGCTTTCCCATCCCACCAACAAAATCCCAGCTCTCCATATTTGGGGGGGGCATACACCATACCCAAAAGCCCCTGCCCATACCAAAAAGGCCCATTCCCCACTCCCTGTCCCCCTCCCCGTTTGGGAAAGGCGCAGATGGGGGCAAGATATGATTTTACCCCTCAGGTGGGTGTGTTGGGCAGCCTTGGTTCACAAGAGCCTGAGCCTTGGTTCACAAGAGCCTCTTTAGGCAGCCTTGGTTCACAAGAGCCTGAGCCCCGGGGACTTTGGGGTGGGGGGCGGTGTTTGCCACTTTACCAGGTTGTCGCTGTTGCTGTGATCCGCCTGCTTCCTCGCCTGGTAGTAGCTGAGAAGTTTGTCCCGCAACACCTGCCAGGCAGCAGAGGGGTGGGGAGAGAGAGGCAGAGAGTGGGGGTCCCTGGCTGGCTGGAGGGGGGGGTGAGAACCTAAGAAGAGCCTGCTGGATCCGGCCAACGGCTCATCTAGTCCAGCCTCCTGTCCTCAATGGTCAACCCGGTGCCCATTATGGGGAACCAGCAAGCAAGATTCGAACACAAGCTCAGCTCTCCCCTCCTGGGCCTGGGAAGCATCTCCTGCCTCCAACTGTGGGGACAGCGCAGAGCCATCCTGGCCAGGGGCCACCAACAGCCCTCTCCCCCTGCATGCCTTTGTCTGATCCTCTTCTAAAGCCCTCCATGGCCTCCTGTGGAAGGGAGTTCCACAGTTTAACTTCCCTTTAAAGGTAAAGGGACCTCTGACCGTTAGGTCCAGTCACGGACAACTCTGGGGTTGCGGCGCTCATCTTGCTTTACTGGCCGAGGGAGCCGGCGTACAGAATCATAGAATCATAGAATCATAGAGTTGGAAGAGACCCCAAGGGCCATCGAGTCCAACCCCCTGCCAAGCAGGAAACACCATCAGAGCACTCCTGACATATGGTTGTCAAGCCTCTGCTTAAAGACCTCCAAAGAAGGAGACTCCACCACACTCCTTGGCAGCAAATTCCACTGTCAAACAGCTCTGACTGTCAGGAAGTTCTTCCTCATGTTTAGGTGGAATCTTCTTTCTTGTAGTGGCAGCTTCTGGGTCATGTGGCCAGCAGGACTAAGCTGCTTCTGGAGAACCAGAGCAGCGCACGGAAACGCCGTTTACCTTCCCGCCAGAGCGGTACCTATTTATCTACTTGCACTGTGTGCTTTCGAACTGCTAGGTTGGCAGGAGCAGGGACTGAGGAATGGGAGCTCACCCCGTCGCGGGGATTCGAACAGCCGACCTTCTGATTGGCAAGTCCTAGGCTCTGTGGTTTAACCCACAGCGCCACCCGCGTCCCTTTAATCTGTCCTAAACCTTCTGACACTCAGCTGCATTCTAGTGAGAGAGAAAAACCTCTGTCTGGAATGCATAACTTTACAAACTTCTATCCTGTGTGGCCTTTTCTCCAACCTCAAAAGCCCCAAACTCTGCACGATTTAATCCAAATCCTCCTGAGCAGCCGCAGAGTGCCTTCCTGCGGCAATGGTGCTTCCGCCCCCCCCCCCGCCTCTCCATCCCAGCTTCTCCCTGCCCCCCCCCCGGCCACCACTCACCTCATACAGGTAGTCGAAGATCTCCAGGATGGTGAGGAGGCTGGCGCCAATGAAGAGGCCCATCTGGCCCCCAATGTCCCCTGGGGGGAGGCAAACAAAGAGAGGTCACTCTGCCTGAACCCCCCCAATTCCTCCCCCCGCCCTCCCTGGGACCCCTCACTCACCCAGCAGCCCAGCCACTTCGTAGGCCTTCTTCTGCTCAATGGTCTCATAGTTCAGCGCTTCGAAGAAGATGTCCAGCACCAGAAGATTCTCCCTGAGATCAGGTGAGGGGGGGTCAGAAGAGGCAGGCAGGGGGGAGCCCTGGGCTTGGCCAGCCTCCATGGAGGGCCCCCCTCCCCAGAAGCCCCTGGGAAGCCCTCAGGCAGGGCTGGGAGGAGACGCCATCGGGCTAGACTGCCCCTGCCCATGGGGTCCCCATTTGGGGGCCATTCATTGGGGGACGGGTTGCGTGGAACTGGAAATGTCCATGTTGCCCCAACTGTGGGAGAGCGTTTGAGCCTCGATGCCAGAGGTTTTGGTGGATATGAATTTACATTTATACCAAAAAACGACCAGCTAAAGCAGCTCTTTGCTGGAGATGTCATAAGGACAAAGCCTCTATAGGCATAGACTTTGGACAAATACCGTATTTTTTGCTCTATAAGACTCACTTTGTCCCTCCTAAAAAGTAAGGGGAAATGTGTGTGCGTCTTATGGAGCGAATGCAGGCTGCGCAGCTATCCCAGAAGCCAGAACAGGAAGAGGGATTGCTGCTTTCGCTGTGCAGAGATCCCTCTTGCTGTTCTGGCTTCTGGGATTCAGAATAATTTCTTTCTTGTTTTCCTCCTCCAAAAACTAGGTGCGTCTTATAGAGCGAAAAATATGGTATATTGATATTTGGAATGAGTTGGTGTGGAATGGAGGGGGGATAATATCACTTATGTTCCCTTTAACCAGGGCTTTGGTTGACCTCATCAGCATCCCATACCCTTTTAAAATGTGGCTCTTGGGGGGGGGGTATTATTGGATTATTGCTTATTTTTATTTTATATATCTTTTTATGTGAATCACCCTGAGACCCCCGGGTATAGGACGGTATATAAATCCAAATAATAATAATAATAATAATAATAATAATAATAATAATAATAATGAATACCACATTTATAAGTGAAAATCTTTCAGCAAAGTACCAAAAGGAAGAAAGAAGGGGGCTGGTGCAGCCGGGGGCATCTTTCCGGAGGGGGCCCAGTGGGGGGGGGCTTCTACTCACGCGATGTACTGCTCGCTGCGGTTGTACTTCTTGGCCAGGTACTTGGCGGAGGCCTTGCTGGGGATCTTGACCACGGAGAGCTCCTTGCCGTAGCGCACCGTCTCGCAGGGGGTCTGGCAGGAGCAGAACTCGTTGTCCTTCTCCACCAGGAAGTCTGGGGGGGGGCAGATGGGGCAGGTCAGGGCTGGCCAGAGAGGGACAGGAATCTCTCTCCAGCCCCCCACCCAACCCAGGGGTCCGGAGGGGGGGTCTATGCTTACCCAGGGCGGGGTCGGCACACTCCTTGTACTGCTCCGGGGTGCAGAGGTTGGCGTTCCCTGGGCACGAGGAACAGCGGTTGAGGCAACGGAGGCACGGCGGGCAGCAGAGCACCCACTTTCCTGCATCTCCCTGTGAGGGTTCTCGTCATTCGAGGTGCCCTGTAGGGTGGGCACCTGGGCCAATCAATGCCAAGGGCCTTTGGGAGGGTCCCCTTGACCCACTGCCACCCCCCAAAGTTCAGCGGGCATTGCCAGGTCCAATGGGGTGTGTGTCCCATTGCAGGGAATTTGACTTGATGATGTTTGGGGTCCCTTCCAATTCTACCAGTTTACAATTCATTAGAGGTTTCTAAATGGAGGTCTGGGTTTCCTTAGCTGCGAGTCCCGCATTGTAGGGGGTTGCCCTAGATGCCCTTTGGGGGTCCCTTCCAGCTCTCCAATTCTTGGAGGAGCCAGAATGACCATGCAATGGCATGTCAACCTGAGTATGTGGACCCCAGGAGCCTGCCCGGGGCCACAGCCTCCCACGTCTCCAGCAGCCCAGATTTGACGCCCGTCTCTCGCACCCCCTGCCCTGAGCCCATCCCCCGGCCCCCAACCTGGCATGTGCACCATGCGGCAATTGCAGTTCTCGGCCAGGTAGCGCGTCTCGCAGTCGATGCGGCAGGCGGCCATGCTGTAGTTGGCAAAGAAGGCCGACTCCACGGGGTTTGATTTGCAGTCACCCCACGGCGGGGGGAGGTAGAAGAGCTGCGGAGGAAGGGGGAAAGGGGGGTTGGCTGACCCCTCTCAGGACCTCTGGTGTCCGTCGTCACCCCAAGACCAAGCCCCCCCTCTCTGCCCCATAGATGGGCTGCCGGGCCGCGCTGGGCACATTCCTAGAGAAATCCCATAGGAGACAGCAGGAAAGGCTGAGAGCCAGGAAGCCGGCCCTGGGAGTGGGCAGGGGGATCGCGCTGCCCAGAAAGCCCGGCCCGCAAGAGGGGCACATACCCTTTGCTGCTGGCACGAGACGAAGGTCTGGAAGCCGGGAGCCACGCCAAAGCCCAGCTGGTCGATGGAAGGGGGCTCGTTCTGGCTGTGGATCTGCACCTTCACCCCAGCTTCGTAGGAGGTCTCATCTACAACACAAACACAAGCGCATTGGGGAGAAGGAAAGGGCCGGATCCTGAGCGCGGGGGGGACTGGTGCTGCTGGGTGTGGAAGGAAGCAGACGGGCAAATGAGATGGAGGGAAGCACATTGTCATGTGAATGTGTGATAGGAATTTTGAGCTCTTGGATATATGCTAAATGTTCCCAAGTGTACCAGCCAAGCGTGTACATAGATCAGCACAGGAAGACTGACCTGGAACCATTTTGATTCCCAAACTGTCCCAAACTGAGCAAATGTTTTCTCTGCGAGGTCAAAGGAAAATGGAAAAGCCTCCCCATTGTCTTTTCCTTCACAAATTCTGTCTTAAGGGTATGTCTGTGTTTGAAAAGGTTCTGAGCCTGTGACCTGGCTCAGGAAATAAGTATTTATCATTACAAGAGACTGGCCAGGCTCCCCAGGGTATCCAATCAAGTAAGCAGGCAATCCAATCAAGTGACCATTAAACAGGTAACCTGTCAGACAAGATAAACAAGTCACTCAGATTTTTGTTGTAGATCACCTTTTCTGTGATGTAGGAATGATGTTTGTGGGGGGTGGTCTTAGGTTACACCCCTTCTGTGATGTATGTATGTTGTTTCTGGGGGTGGTCTTGATCTACAGGGTGGCAATTTTAAAAGTCCATATAAGGCCTTGCGCACCATTGTTCTGGGTTCCTCCTCCTTTCCTGTGTGTGAGAGGAGCCCCCTGTTGCAACAGATCAATAAAGATCAAGCTTACTAGCTGCTTTGCTTCTCAATATTCTCTGCTTGGCCTCTGTTATCTTCTCCTACCAATAGGGAACCTACGTAAGGGCTCTATATGGGCTCTTGGATACCCCATAAGCAGTGGCGTAGCGTGGGGGGTGCAGGGGGGGCCGGCCGCACCGGGCGCAACATCTGGGGTTAGGGCAAATCCACGGGTTAGGGGGTGCAAATCCACAGGTTAGGGGGCGCAAATCCACGGGTTAGGGGGCGCAAATTACTTGCCTTGCCCTGGGTGCTGACAACTCATGATACGCCGCTGCCCATAAGGGAAGAAGGGCATATTTTTATTGTTTACAACATGAACCACCCTGAGATTTGCAGATGTGGGGAAGCAAATTTAATAGTTAATGTGTGGAACTCCCTTCCACAGGAGGCGCTGATGACCGACAACCTGGATTGAAAGAGGATTAGGGAAAGTCATGGAGGAGGAGAAGCCAACTGAGGGCAACTAGCTGTCATGGCTACGATCTGCCTCCACGGTCAAAGGCAGCAGCACTTCTGAGTACCATCTACTGGAAGCCACCGGAGAAGAAAGGTCTCTTGGGCTCAGGTCCTGACTGGGCCATTGGCCGGATCCAGTAGGATCTCCTTCTTGTCTTCCGTCCCTGGGCTCTGTGCTACCCCTGCTCTGCTTTCTCTAAGACAACCCACCACCCGACCCTCTGCCTCTTCTCTCCCACCCTTTTCTCCACCCGAATCTGCCCAGCCCCACTGAACTCTGCCCTAAGCAGGAGGTCAAAGAATAACAGAACTGTAGAGCTGGGACCCCGAGGGTCATCCAGTCCAGCCCCCCCTGCAATGCAGGAATCTCAGCTCAAGCATCCAGGACAGTTGGCCACCCAACCTCTGCTTAAAAACCTCCAAGGAAGGAGACCCTCACCACCTCCTTCAGGAGACCACCCCGCTGTGGAACAGCTCTGCCTGTCAAAGTTTTTCTGTATGCTTAGTCAGAATTTCCTTTCTTGCAACTTGAAGCCAAGGGTTCGAGTCCTTCCCTCTGAAGCAGGAGAAAACAAACTTCCTCCATCTTCCATGTTACAGCCCTTGAGATATTTGAAGGCGGCTCTCATTTCTCCTCTCAGTCTGGAGATACGGGCACAGCAAATAGCCTGAGAAAGTATCACTTTCAATGGGCCCCCTTCTCTCAATGGAAGGGCCGATTTATCAATGAACAATACTTCGTTCAGATATGATTCTAAAACGTGAATCAAACAAATATTCTGAACAGAACAGGCTGTGGTTCACCTCTGGGAGACCCTCTCAAGTCCAGCAGGAAATTCCTGGTGTTTGACAAGTATCTGTTGAATGGCCCAGAGGGCGTCTTGGATGTATGAATGGGGAGCTCTGTGACAATGGATTCTGGAGGCCAGGCATTCACCAGTTCAAAAGGATGTCTCAGCCCGGTCCTTCTCAGGTATGGCCAGGCATCTGGATTGACAGACTTGTAGATATGATGGAGAAACAGGAACGCTGAGCATGACCCAGTTGACATAACCACCATTTATGTTTGTATCTTTTGGGAGAGGACTCTCAATTGCAGGGTCATGGGTTTGAGCCCCACTGTTACGAAAATTACTGGGGGGGGGGCACATCTTTAAAGTTGTTAAATGTTGCAAATATTATGCATAAATGTATCCTTTTGACTTGACAGCTCAGGGAAGTTACCTAGCTTTAACAATCATATAAAATCAACTCCTTTGCCAGTTTCCTTCATTCCACCGCCAATTTGCTTCATTGGCCAAGGACTTGGAAGCCACTCGGTCCCCGCCATAATCCCTCAAGCGGGAGGTCATGTACTCACAGGAAGGTACTCATAGGTGTCAATCGCTGGGCAAAGGCACTCCTACGGACTTGCCCAGGTGACAGACTAGGCAAACCCAAGTTCTCTTGTCCCTTTGTAGTAGGTGCTTAGAATGTACTTCCCAAGACATATCCTGTATCCGCCTGTTGCCCCACACATTCCTCCGATGTTCATCATGTATAACCCTCCCCTTTTCTGATGTAGCAATGATGTAGTGATGATGCTTAATGAACTGTATTCTGGGACATGGTGGGAAAGTTTTAAAAGTCTTTGTCACCCCATCCTCGGGGTTCAAAATTCCTCTTTGAACCTGTTGCGCAATAAACTTTGTTGTTGTTTTTTTAATATCATATTTACTGCAATCTTCAAAAAATACAGAAAAAAAGGGGGGGGGGAGAAAGAAAACATTTACCATTTAAACCTTATTTTCAATGACATCTTTCCAAGACTTCCCCACACCTCCCCTTCTTGTATTCCATCTCCACTTATTTAGTTCAATAAGTTCTTATCCCCAATTTTTGACGTTATTGTATTTAATTCATTCTTCAATTTAGTTCATTTTATATAGCCACTTTCACCTTATAATCCACAGTCTTTGTACATTAGAATCTTTTTCTAAGGTCGATCCCAATTCCCTTCCACGAGTTCCCCTTTTTTGTCCTCATAGCGAAACAAAATAAAAAAAAGAAGAAAAATTCAAAATATAATTATACACCCTTTGGATTCCCAAACTCCAGCCCCCCTTTCCCGGTTTTGATCCCCAATGTCCATCAGTCTATCTGCTATCAGCCTGGAGACCTCACATCCGAGGCTCTTAATTTTCTCACAGTTCCTCTTTGCCGGTTTTTTTGATAGTCCTTTATATCAAGCACCAAATCTCGGAGAAGCTCTGTCTTGAAAATGTCCATTTTTCTTCCATCCAGACCTCTATATTTAAAAGTGGAGCTCAAATCTTGTTTCTTAATCCTTTTAAGTCTGAATGTCCCAAAAGCTCCAACTTCCATCTTGATCAAATTTGTAATCCATAGGTCTTCAGATCTCCACATCAGGAGATCTCTCCAATCTTCATTGTCCAGTTCAAACCAAATTTTCATCATCCAATTCTTGTTTTCCTTTATGTCCTTCCTAACAGGCCTCTGGCCTTCCTTGATCTTCTGTGGCATTGTAACCCCTCCTTCATTCCCTTCCAAATCATCATATATCCCTTGTTCCTCTTTCTCAAATTTCTCAGGTTTCTTTTCCTGCTCAGCTGCAAAAACTTTTGCTTCCGCTACAAGGACTTTTTGTTCAGGAACAAGAACTTGAGTCAAGTCCCTTCCAGTTTCAGTAACTTTGTTTACTGTTTCATTCAATGTAGTAGCCCTCGTAGTCAAAATATTGCTTTGTTCTTGAAGCTTTCCCAGGAGATAAAAAGTCCTGTTCAGCTCAATGAGTATTTTTCCACTTACAGCCATTCTTGTAATATCCCAAAACCCCCTCTAGAGGGATTATGGTTACTTAGTATCCTTCTAGTTCCAACCCAAAAGTCAAAATAACTTGTTCTTCCTTGTTTTCAACAATTTATATCCAAATTGTAACAAATCTAACCAGCAAAGTCACAGAAACAAAGTTCTCTTTTTATTCCCCAACTTTGACAGCTACTTTGACAGCTGTCAAAATTTTCTGTATCTCTTCACCAGGCTCTCTCGCAGATCACTCCCGGTTCCCGGGGGGTTGCACTTTAACTCTCAAAATCAACTCTTATCCTCCAGCAAAGTTACTTGTACTTTCCAATCGTGAAATTAATAACTTTTATCCAATAAAGAAAAGGATGTTCTCTCAACCTTAGTTATCTAGTCCTTGCTTTAAATTGTTTACAATGCGGGGAGACGGACTTCCTCTTTGCGCCTTCCCCGATCGTGCCAAATCCAAGAAAAAGAAAAAATTCCCTTTTAAGTCCAATTTCCGTATTACTCACGGGTTGTTGCTTTTAGTCCAAATGTTCAGAAGAAGAAGTCAGCGCTCTCCGTCCATGGCATGCGGCTTCACTCAGCAGGGGAAGCAGAAGACTCACAGCACCGCGCCGCTCCCCGTCCCCCGTTCCGCAGCCTTTAAAAAGGCTCCTTCGCGGGTTGGGGGGCGCAAACGGTGCCCGCCGAGTCACCAAGTCCATGGGCTTCCGCGCCCGTGGTTTTTAAGGGTCCCCGCGTCGCCGGCGCGGCAGGACCCGACCCCTGCTGAGCTGATTCCCTCCGGAGCTCTGAGGGAATCCGCCATTCGACGATGGCGCTAACCCGGAAGCTAACCTGGTCTACAGCTATTTGCTCCAGTTGGTGGCTGGACTCCTTCCTTTATTCTGCAGCGACCCACAGGCTCTGCCCTATGAGCTGGGGGACTGAGCAGCCTCACACCTAGATTTTTCTGTAACACCCACATTGGGCGAAAGATTCCTGCATTCCAGGAGGTTGGACCAACTCTATGATTTGATGATCTTGGGTGGTCTTTCTCTTATAATTTCTGAATGCACAATGTTCAAGGCTCCACTCCTCCTTTTGCAACAGACCAATAAAGGCCAGCAGCTTGCCTTGCCTCCTTGGTGTCGCCTCCATTTGCATCCCTGACCGATAGCGGACCTCAAGGGGTCCCTTGGTGGGGAGCTGGGCTGTAAAAGCCGACCTCCAATTTATTCTTATACAGTAACAATAATAAAGGTGAAATGGGAGTTTAGGAGCAGAAAGAGGAAGAAGGAAAGGGGGTCCCCTTCTGGGCAGCCTGGAAACTTCAGGAGGCTGAGAGAGCCCAACACCCCTGAACCCCACAGAGGGGGCAGAAGAGGACTCAGCCGGGCCTGGGATATTGCTGCTGCAGGAGGAGCCCCACTAGACAGGAAGGAGCAGATCCTGAGTAGCTCTCAGTGGCTCTGAGGTCCCCAGGAATTTCTCCTGTGGGAAGATCTGCAGTCAAAATAATAATTAAGTTAGCTCTATAATCATAAGAAAGGGTTAAGACTCTTATGGGTAGGCAACCTAAGGCCCGTGGGCTGGATCCGGCCCAATCGCCTTCTCAATCTGACCTGCAGATGGTACGGGAATTAGCATGTTTTTACATGAGTAGAATGTGTGCTTTTATTTAAAATGCATCTCTGGGTTATTTGTGGGGCATAGGAATTCGTTCATTATTATTTTTTAAATATAGTCCGGCCCACCACATGGTCTGAGGGAGGTGGACCACCCCAGCTGAAAAAGGTTGCTGACCCCTACCTCTTAGAGTTCCTGTATTCCCAGAGAAGACAGATCTGTGGTGTCATATCCCCTACATCCCGTGGCATTTTTAATTTTTCCTCCTTCCTCCTTGCCTCAGTGTCTCTCTTCCTTTTGAAGCCAGCAACTGAGCAGAAATACATGCCTGGGCTTTGCTCAGAGCTCAGATTCCGTTTTGGAAACGAATTTTGTCTTTTGTAACTTAAGACGTATTTTTACCTGCATACTGTTTTGATGCATTTGCTGCCCGCATTGAAATGTAAGTAAACCTTTTCATTTATCTTACAAAAGTGTGTTCTTTGCTCTTAGCAATGGGGACAAAGAGGGGAAAGGTCAGCAGACCACAAATAAACAGGGACAAAAAAGGTGTATTGGACTAATTCCTAGCTTCCAGTAAGCTGCAAAGTGCCTAAGTGGTTTTTCTTTGCCAAAAGGGCTTCACAGCCTGTTTACTCTCATATTTCTAACACACGTGCGGGACAGGAGATTTAAATTTTAATGGACAGATTTAATTTTCAATCCACCTCCATCGTCTCCTGGGATCAAACAGGGCCCATCCCCAAGAAGGACCCTGTGCCCACCCTGTGCCCTCCTCCGACCCCTCACTCACCCGTTTCTCCCCAGACAGGCAGGTACTCATCCTGCTGGATGTTCAGCATCAGTTCCAGACCATTGCCCGTTCCGCCCTTGACCGTCGTGAGGAGTTCGTGGCCGGGAGCCCCCGAGTTGAAGGTGTAGCACTTTCCCAACCGGGTGAAGATCTGCAGGAGGGGGGAGGAGAAAGGGGTGGCGTGAGGAGGAAGGCGGAAGCTGCCTTGCACCAAAGCCAGACCATGGCTCCATCCACCTCAGTATTGTCTACACTGGCTGGCAGCAATGGCTCAACAGAGTCCCTGGCAGGCGGTGCTCCCATCCCTGATTGAATCTTGAACCCAGGACCGTCTGCATGCAAAGCTAGTGCTCTGTGACTTTTTTTTTTAAAAAGCCAAGTTTATAGTCCTCAAGGTTCTAGATAAAGGGATGCGCTAAACAGCATGGAAACTGCCTGGGATTATTGGTCCAGCCAGCACTGGCTCTCCAAGGTTTCAGCCTCAGGGGTACTTTCTGGCCCTACCTGGGAACTGAACCCGGGACCTGCCCCACTGAGCCTGGCTTCAGCTGAGCAGGAACCAGACCCACAGAGAGGAGCATTCCTATGGGGTCCAAAGGGCCTCAGAGACCCCTCCAGCTCCTCTATCGCCTGCTTTCTTGAGCAGAGGGGCAGCCAGGAGGTCACCCACCAGGACCCCCAACCCCCTTCTGGTTGCCCTTTGGGGGCTTCTGGTATGGAAGGTGGGGGACCCTCCCAGAGTCTGAGAGGGAGCAGGGGCCCCACCAACTCTTGTCCCCCCGACCATTGGCCGGGCAGACTGCTCCCCCCCCAACATCAGCGGGGGCCCCTCTGGCTGCCTGGCCCTGGGGGGGGAGTGGTCTGGGGAAAGTTTTTCTCCCCCTCTCTGAAACTGGTGGACATTCCATGGATTGGATTCTGTGGATTTATTTGTGCAATGCTGAGTTAATCTGTGGAACTCCCTCCCCCAGGAGGCAGGGAAGGGGAAGGAAGTAATAGTCCTGCTCTCTTCTGCCTTGGTCAGATCACACCTGACAATCCTGTGTCCAATTCTGGGCTGGAAGGTGGACAAAGGAGGGTGACCAAGAGGATCAAGGGCCTGGAAGCTGTGGCAGGAATTTATGTATAGTTTGGGAGGGTGTTGCCCCTCCAGCAGATATCATACACATGCATCCCACTACCAAAACCAGCACCATCACTTTTGTGATTTGTCCCCACAAAACACTTCATCACAGTTTCTTCCTATCTATTCAAAGGGCCTCTGCTGCGTGATACCAAATGTAAGAATTCACTGATAAATGTATCTCTGTACTGGCTCACAGGGAAAACTTCAGAAATTCATATAGAGATGTGAGCTCGGCTCCTCAGCAGCCCCTCTGCCTGAGGGATAATCCCTGGCCTCCTGATACCCGAGTGCCAGACAGGTAGCCCTTCCAGAAATAACAAACCCAGATGAAGACAAAAGGGTGTGATTAACTTGGCTGGGAAACAGGGAAATGTAAATATCTCTTTTGTGACACTTGATGGGTGTTTGGTGGAGGGCAAGGGGAACCATGGGGCAGGGTCCAGGATGCTCAGATCCCTGCCACCAGACCTCCCCTTTCATGATGTAACCGTGATGTAGTTTGGGGGGGTGTAACATGGGGATTAGCAGCTAATAAAAGCTGGGGTCTTCTTTTGTTCAGGGCTTCTATCTTGTTCCACCTGGTGGCAGGTGGGAGTCCTGTCGCAACTGTCTTCAATAAAGACCAAGCCGACTGGCTGCTGTTTTGTTCTGGTATTCCTGGCTGGGGTCCTTGTTTTTTGGCCAAGGGAGCCCTCAGATTTCTCCGTTAACAAAGCCAAGCCTTATGAGGAACGGTTGAAGGAGCTGGGGATGTTGAAGCTGGAAAAGATTAGGCTGAGAGGAAACATGAGGGCCATCTTCACATATGTCTGTCACATGGAAGAGGGAACAAACTTGCTTTCTCCTGTTCTGGAAGGTAGGACTCGAACTCATGGCTTCAAGTTACAAGGCAGGAGATTCCGACTAAGCATCAGGAAGAGCTTGGAATGGCCTCCCTTGAGAGGTTGTGACCTCTCCTTCCTTGGAGGTTTTCAAGCAGAGGCTGGATGGCCACCTGTCATGGATGCTTGGGCTGAGATTCCTGCCTTGCAGGGGGTTGGAATAGATGGCCCCTAGGGGTCCCTTCCAACGTTACAATTCTACGATTCTATGGCCACCAACTTGGACAGCTTTAAGAGAGGATTGTGCAAATTCCTGTTCATTTTGAAGGCTCCTAGCCAGGGTGACTCTTCTCTGCCCTCCACCGTCAGAGGCCACAATGCTTCCGAATCCCAGTTGCTGGAAACCCAGAGAGTTGCTCTTGAGTTCGAATCCTGATTCCTGGTTTCCCTTTGGCCGCAGCGAGAACAGGAGGCTGGGCTGCACATGGAAGTCGAGAGGAAGCAGTGGGGAGGAAATCGATGACCCAGGAGGGGCTCGACGGCCCCAGAGTCTCCTTCCACCCCCTGCCAAGGTCCTGGAGCTGGGCCTTCCCAAATCTTGCGCAGGGCCGTTTCTGCGGCATGAGAGCCTCCCCTCTGGCCCCCGCTGACCCAAAGCGCATTGCCCCCCCCCGTCCTCCACGCCATCGTCCGTCTCGGGTTGCGCTGACGCTCGCAGGAGACGTTGGCCTGGTGCAGCTCAGCGCAGAGTAACAGGAGTGGCCTTGGGGACCAGGCTGGGCTGGGGGGGGGCAGGAGGGGGGCAGAGGAGGAGAAGCAGGAGGAGGAAGAGATTCTCTGCTGGAGAGGAGATTGCCAGGAGGAGGGAAAGATGATTGGGGGGGTGAGAAGCGGGAGGGGGCATCTCAGGGGTCTCCCTAGGCAAGCCCCCCACCCCCAATGCCCAGCCCTAGACGCAAACCTCTGGTGTGCATTAGAGACTGAGATATCCTGCCTGAGAGAAAAGGGGGTGATGCTCTTCTTTTCACCCAGAGGTGGGGGGGTGTGTCTCCGGCTAAGTGGCTTCATTAGCCGTCCCCCTCAGCCTCCCCAAGTGATCCCCCTGCCCTCTGCTGACACCCCACAGAAACGGACCCCAAATAGCCGCTGCCATCCAGACTGAGCCCCAACGGGCATTTCAATTCCCGTCTTTTGAGGCCTGCTCCCGTTCCTCTCCCAGTCTCTGACATAGCTCTAGAGTTGGAAGGACCCGGAGGGTCATCTAGTCCAACCCCAAGTGAGGCAGCCATCGCAGATAAAGAATCTCTGACAGACGCAGAATTGCACAAGGGACTCCCAAAGGGCATCCAGCTGAACCCCAATGTAGGAGGTATGAAGCTGGGGGGCTCTGAGGGTGCCAAATTGGGGTGTGGGGGTGTGGGTAGGCGCAGGCCCAGGAGAGGGGACTCACGGCGGTGAAGTTGTGGGGCCCGCACTCCCGGGTCCCGAAGCGGCAGTCCAGCAGCATCTCCTCCAGGCTGTGGGCCGTGCGCTCCACAAACTCCTTCATGTCGAAGCGGGGGGTGGGGTAGAAGCTGAGCCCCCCCTCGTCCGCCCTCCCCAGGGCCCTCAGGTACTCGGGGAAGGTGGGGGCCTCCACCCCCAGCAGCTCCTGGCCCACCCAGTGCAGGTCGTTGCGGGTCAGGCGGGAGCGGCGGACGCGGTTGAAGTTGCAGAGGGTGACGGCCGGGAAGAGGATCAGGCGTCCGGCCTCCTCGTCCAGCATGGTGACGTGGTGGTACTCCTTGTAGTACTGCACCCGCTCGCCCACCTGGTACAGGAAGATGCCCAGCGCCAGCAGGACGGCGCCCGCCCAGGCCGCCCGCCGGGGGGTGAAGGGGCCCGGCAGGAAGACGTGGGCCAGGCCGTGCAGGGTGCAGCTGCCGGCAAAGGCGGCAAAGTCGGAGGGCCTGGGGGCCGCCTCGTCTGCTCGGGGCTCCTGCATGTCCCTCGACGGCCGGGAGCTGCTGCGGGGTTGTGTTTCAGGCCCCGGAGGGAAGCTCTGGCCAGCAGAGGAGGAGGCGGCAGCTGATCCCGGGCAGGTGATGGAGGAGGAGGCTGCTTGGCCCAGGGCCAGGGGGGCAGGCCGGCCGGGAGGGAGGGCCAGGAGCATGCTGGCACTGGGAGGGCATGCCGGGAGCCAGGGAGCTCCGGGAAGGAGGGGAGAGCCCTGGGTGGTGGGGGTGCTGCACTCAGGCCCCACGCGGAACCCTAGAAGGGTAGAGCTGGAAGGGACCCCCAAGGGTCATCTAGCCCAGCCCCCCACAAGGCCAAAGGACCGCTGACAGACAGCCACCCAACCTCTGTCTAAAGACCTCCAAGGGAGGAGAGTCCATTGGTTCCTGACATGAATTGGCTGGATGCAAAGGTGTTGCAGAAATTTATGTATAGGTTGGGGGGGTTGCCCCTCCAGCAGATATTGTGCACACGCAACCCACTGCCAAAACCAGCACAATTGCTTTTGTGACTTGTCCCCACAAAACACTTCATCACAGTTTCTTCCTATCTATCCGAAGGGCCTTTGCTGCACAATACCAAATGTAAGAATTCACTGATAAATGTATCTCTGTACTGGCTCACAAGGAAAACCTCAGAAATTCATATAGAGATGTGAGCTCGGCTGCTCAGCAGCCCCTCTGCCTGAGGGATAATCCCTGGCATCCTGATACCTGAGTGCCAGACAGGTAGCCATTCCAGAAATAGCAAACCCAGATGAAGACAAAAGGGTGGGATGAACTTGGCTGGGAAAGAGGGAAATGTAAAGATCTCTTTTGTTCCACTTGATGGGTGTTTGGTGGAGGGCAAGGGGAACCATGGGGCAGGGTCCAGGACGCCCAGATTACTGCCACCAGACCTCCCCTTTCATGATGTAGTTTGATGTAGTTTGTGTGGGGGGGTGTAACATTGGCATTAGCATCTAATAAAAGTTTGGGTTCTCTTTTGTTCGGGGCTTCCATCTTGTTCCACCTGGTGGCAGGTGGGAGTCCTGTTGCGACAGTCTTCAATCAAGACCAAGCCTACTGGCTGCTGTTCTGCTCTGGTCTTCCTGCCTGGGGTCCTTGCTTTTTGTCCAAGGGAGCCCGGAGCGTGTGTGTGACATCATGCACACATGTGAAGTCACATGCCACCGCAGCCGGAGGGCCCGACAGAGCTCTCCACCACAGTGGGAAGGCCCCATGGAGTCGCCCCTTCAGACACCCGCAGTAAAAAAAATTGTGGATGCCTCAACACCCCCAGAGATGGTGCCTCTGTAACAGGGTCTAGTGAGCAGGAAGAGGCTGGGGCAGAGAGGAGTGCAGACGCAGAGAGAGAAGCGGAGGCTGGAGAGGAGGGTGGCCAAGAGGCAGAAATGAGTCTCCTCCCTGCTGGTCTCCCAGGACCAGGAGAGGGGTGAAGAGGGTGGAGCAGAGACAGACTGGGCATCAGAGTCTCCGGTTGCTTGGGAAGGACCACGGGGGGGAGGAGACTCTGAAGGCTGTGGGAAGGGAGGCCTCCCAAGTGCCTCATTGGGGCAAGATCTACCGGGAAGAGTTCCTGGGGTCACTAGGCCTGGGCTGCTTTGTCTCGGAATAAAGAGTTTCAAGAAACAGAAGTCCAGTGTCTGGATCAAGGGAAATAAGAGACCCACTCTCTTCTGTCTGGATCAGACCACTCCTGACAACACTGTGTCCAGTTCTGGGCACCGCAATTTAAGAAGGGAGGTTGACAAGCTGGAAGGTGTGAAGAGGAGGGAGACCAAGAAGATCAAGGGTCTGGAAGTCAAGCCTTATGAGGAGCGGTTGAAGGAGCTGGGACTGTCTAGCCTGGAAAAGATGAGGCTGTGAGGAGATACGGGAGCCACCTTCCAATATCTACAGGGCTGTCACATGCTGGTTTTCTACTGCTCTGGAGGGCAGGACTCAAACCAATGGATTCAAGTTGCAAGGAAGGAGATTCCAGCTAAACATTCAAGAAACCTTTCTGACAGTCAGAGCTGCTTGGCAGTGAAACAAAAGGGGACGAACTCTCCTTCCTTGGAGGTTTTTAAGCAGAGGTTGGCTGGCCTCTGTCAGGGATGCTTTTGTTGACGGGATGAGCCTTTGGGTCCCTTCCAGCTCTCTGGTCCTACGAGATGACTTCCCTGACACCAAGTGAGGAGTTCTTGCTCCCAACGGTTCCATTCTAGCTCTGACCACCAGAAAGTTCTTCCTGCTGTTGAGCCAGACTCTAACCTTTGTGGGATCTGAAAGACTAACATATTTCCTAATGGCATAAGCCCCAAAAGGCTATGGAACTCTCAGCACATTGCAAAATGAAGAACTGAGCATGTGCACTTAACTTATTGTCTTTCACTCACTTCCTGCCTTGGCCCAGCACAATTTAGCAAAGCACAATTTAGCGCTTCTGCACATGCGCAACCGCCGAAACCCAGAAGTAACCTGTTCTGGTACTTCCGTGTTTCGGCGGTCCACAACCCAAAAAAACGCAACCTGAAGCGTCTGTAACCCGAGGTATGACTGTATATGTTTGCAATACTTCCCACCCCCTCATGCAAATAAGTATGGGTTCAAAGCTGCAACCAATCTTAATCTGGTCTGTTATTTCATGTTTAGAACCCCAACGTCCCGTTAAAAAAGGGGAAAGTTGCTCCCACTTTCCAAAGGCGGCTCAGTCAAAGAAAATTTTAAGCCTACATTCAGCAATACATTTCACTGGGCATTTTGCCACATTCTTTCTCTCTCACACACACACAAAAGCACACATGTTGTTGACAGTAAAAATGATGCACACGAGAGGAAGTCTGAGAGCTAAACAAAAGCTGAAGGGGGGGGACTTTCAAGGTGCAAATGACTCAGATTCTCAAATATTTGGGCTGCAGTCCTAACCCCAACCCCACACACCTGGGGCTCTGGAAGTAAGCCTTGCTGAATTCAATGGGACTTACTTCTGAGTAGGCACAGGAGTGCACTGTCAATCACTGGGAAAATGGCATTTCAGAAATATGGCTAGTGGGCGGTTGGTGAGAAAGACAAGGGAAGGTTTATGGGGGGGAGTGTTTAAACACAGTAAAAGCTCTGCAAATCCATGGCTGGATTGCACAGGCAGAATCTGCACACAAGATGGGGGAGAGATGCCCCCGGCCTCCTTCTCCTCCTCTTCTAAAGGACAAGGCAGCAAAGAGGGACATCGCCACCCCACCTCTTCCCCCCTCCCCTTTGGGGCAAAGCTCGAGATCTGCTCCCCACTAGCACCAGTGCCAGGCAGGTGGGGCCCCCTGCTTCTCCCCAGTGCACAGGTGAGGGGGCAAGGCAAAGCCAGGGATGAAGCCCCATCTCTCCTGTCTCCCCCCCCCCCAGTTCAAGAGCCCTTCCGGACAGCAAAACATGCCCCCTGCCCCCAGTCTGCTGCCATGTTCTGCCCCCAAACACCCTCCGCAAAGCCCACAATGGCAGAAAGCAGGATGGCCTCTGTGTGCTGCCCCCACACCAACCCCAAACAGAAGGGGAGAGGGGGGTGCAAAGACAGTGTCCCTTCCAACTCCTGGACCTGCTCTGCAGAACAAGAGGAAGCCATCGTGTCCCGCTTCCTAGAAAGTCTGTTCTCCAGTCAGGTGGGTGCCCTGCACAGTTTGATGCCTAACTTTGCTTCCAGGTGGGCTGCAGACGGATGTTTTATTCATTTCATTTTTTGAAAGAAAGCTCAGGCTCTGGGGACTCGAGTCCTGGTGCCCTTGCTCCAGCTGCACCCTGGACGATTCAGCTTTGGGGAGGAGGCAGGGAGAGGCCTCCCAAGGGCCTAAGGAGAGCCTGGCGGATCAGGTCCAGCCACTCAGCAGTTAGAGCACAGCCATCACAGTTCATAACCATCAGTGGCCTTCTCCTCCTCCATTAATTTGCCTAACCCCCTTTAAAAGCCATTCGGGTTGGTGGCCGTATCTGCCTCCTGCGGGAAGGAGTTCCACAGTTTAACTCAGGAAGAAAGGCTTTCTTTTCTCTGTAACTGAGTTCTAGAAGGTGGGACCACAGCAAACTATGGCAAGTTCTTAAAGAAATGGGAGTGCCTGATCACCTCATCTGTCTCCTGAGAAATCTCTATGTGGGACAAGAAGCTACAGTTAGAACTGGATATGGAACAACTGATTGGTTCAAAATTGGGAAAGGAGTACGACAAGGCTGTATATTGTCCCCCTGCTTATTTAACTTATATGCAGAATTCATCATGCGAAAGGCTGGGCTGGATGAATCCCAAGCCAGAATTAAGATTGCTGGAAGAAATATCAACCACCTCAGATATGCAGATACACAACCTTGATGGCAGAAAGTGAGGAGGAATTAGGAGACTTCCGGTCGGTGCCAGCGCTTAATGGCGGTCCTACCTCCGAGCTCCGGAGAAGGACTGCTTCGCAAGTTCGGGTCTTACCCGCTACGGCGAGCGGGGGACCCCTAAAATCCCAGGCGCTGAAGCCTGAGAACAAGGAGACTCGGTGGGCACCTTTGCGCCCCCCGGTACCGTGAAAGAGCCTTTTTAAAGGCTACGGATCGACACCGGGAGTGAGCGCGGTGCTGAGAGTCGCTACCCAGCCTGCGAAGTGAAGCCGCGTCGCCATAAGCGGAGAGCGCCGATTCCTTCCTGAAAAGTAAATCTGGACTGAATTCCCGTGAGTAAGAGCTGAAAATAATCGGGACCTTTCAAATTTCGTAAAATTGGGCTGAAAACGGGGAGATTTAAATCAAGGAAGTCTGCCTCCCCCCGACTGCATGAAAGTGAAAGCAACGGAACTCTAAACTTGCATCCGTTGAAACCTGTTCTTTGATCTGCTAAACCGGACATTTAGACCTTTGATCTCCCCTCTAGCTAGCAGGGCAGAGGGGAGGTGAATGAGACTAATAACTGCATGATTTATCTGAAGTAAAAAATCTCTGCTGTCTCACCTACTGAAAGCATGAAACGGTCTGCCTTTCTGGGACACTGAACTGACTTTTCCCTGTAAAGTGACACTTTGTTACAAAGTTTTCACTGTGCTTGGCTACAGTATATTACAAGAAGAAGCAGTATAAACTGGGCAACTGTAATAGATATTCTGGAAAAGCTAGAGGTGAATATAAACACTAAAGCAGTACTGATCTTTGTGGATGCGGAGAAAGCCTT